AATAATATAAGAAATATATATGTGGATTTTATATTAATTTATTTATAATAATTTATTAATTTAGTTCTAATTTGTTTCATAATTAATAAATGTTCTAAATTTCATAAAAATACTAGTAATTTTAATTTAGATTTTTGAATTTAGAAAAAAATTATTCATTTAATAAAGTGTTTTATATAATTAATAAATTGTTCCAAATTGTATAACTTTAGTCATTTTAATGACTGTTTAGTTTAATAAAAAATATTGATTAATTTTATAAAAATGTTTACAAATTTAATAAAAAGTGTTTTATATAATTAATAAATTGTTCAAAATTTTATAACTTTAGTCATACATACATACATATATATATATATAATACCAGATTAATTTACCTAAGAAGCATAATTTTGAAAACATACATAATTTATAGGTTTTTTTTGTTGCTTTTTTTAAAATATGCATCTTAATAAACTATTGATATATTACACAATTACACTTCTTAAGTAAATTAATTTTGCTTTAAGGATGTTTAGATGTTTATACTGGAAAAGTATGATTTAGTAGTATAAAGTAGTTCTAATGCAAAATTTTGAAAGTCTATCATAAATTATATATATTATTATATAATAAATTATGATGTAGCATTTAATACTTTATATAATGTATGTAATGTAAAGTGAAAATAATCTATCTATAAAATGACAATCAAACATTTTTACAGACATATAACTATATGCTATTAAGTCTTTATATCTTATGCTTCGTAAGTAAATTATCTTTGTTTTAAGGTGATTTTTGTCGATACAGAGTTGACATGATAAATGAATAATTAAGTGATAAAGTCATGGTTTCCTCTTTATTTGGCGTGTCCAGACATCAACGAGTGTGTGATGAACCCGCTGCTCTGTGCTTTCCGCTGCGTCAACACCTTCGGCTCGTACGAGTGCATGTGTCCGACGGGATACGTGCTGCGCGACGACAACCGGATGTGCCGAGGTCCGTATGACGATCCACATCATCATTATACACACACGTGCGCGGGTGCAGGCGATAATCGTTACTCCTCTCTCTCTCTCTCTCTCTCTGCAGACCAGGACGAGTGCGCTGAAGGGCTGGACGACTGCGCCTCCAGAGGAATGGCCTGCAAAAACCAGATCGGCACCTTCATGTGCATCTGTCCACCCGGCATGACGCGCCGGCCCACACACACACACGTGCAGGCGATAATCGTTCAGTCTCTCTCTCTGCAGACCAGGACGAGTGCGCTGAAGGGCTGGACGACTGCGCCTCCAGAGGAATGGCCTGCAAAAACCAGATCGGCACCTTCATGTGTATCTGTCCTCCCGGCATGACGCGCCGCCCCGACGGAGATGGATGCATGGGTGAGAAAGCAGCGCGAGCGTGTGTGTTGTTTGTGAGTGTGTGTGTGTGTGTGGACTAAGGATTTACACCTGGTGGATGAGAAATCAAGTGAAAAAAAAAAACCGTGTAAAGACCAGAATATTACAGAAACTAATAGTGGCGGTGATTTTTGCATGAGCAAACACTCACACTCTCTTCTGAAAATATAAAAATATGGTTTGTTTTTACTGGCGTCACACTGAATGTAGTAAATATTGTATTTTGTCAAAGTAAATATTTAACTTTTTTATATTTATAATAATAATAATATAATATTTTATGCAAAATAATATAAAAAATTACAAATAAAATATATCATTTATTTGTTTAGTGATAATTTAATATTTAATGCAATATTATAGTAAATTGGAGTAATGTGACTGTAGTAACTATTGCATTTTGTCAAACTATTTAACATGCATTTTGAATGAAATATAAAATTATTACTATATAACTATTATTAATAATGCATGTTAAAAATGTACCCTAGTAAATAGACAAAATACAATAGTTACTAGTCACATTACATATATATATATATATATATACAATAAAGTATTTTATATAATATATTACAAGTTTATATATATTACGAAATATAATATTTTATTTTTTGTATAGTAATAATACTACTATGCAATATAAATATAAACTTGGGTGACTGAAGTAACTATTGTATTTTGTCAAACTATTTACTAGAGTAAATTTTTAAATGATTTTTTTTTATAACATTTATGTAATAATAATTATTGTTTTTTTATTTATTTAATAACTTTTGTAATATCCATATAAATTGGAGTATTGTGAATGTAGTGACTTGTATTTTTTTAAACATGCATTTGAATAACATTTATATAATAATAATAATAATAATAACATTTAAAATTGTATGCAAAATTAACAAAATAATAATTACAAATAATAATATTATATTTTATGCAATATAAATAAATCAATAATGCTAATATTTAATACGTTATATAATTATATAATAATAAGTAATATTGTGTCCAATATTATGCAATAAAAAACTATAATATTTTTATTTGATTTTACCTAAACCATTTTCTGTAATGTACGCTGGATAGAATTTAAATTTTACAGTAGTCACTTTTCTCTAGTATGTGCTGATGGTGTTGTTGCATAAGTCGTCTCTCTCTCTCTCTCTCCTCCTCCGTGTGTGACTCTGGCAGACCTGAACGAGTGCCGCAGCAAGCCGGGAATCTGCAAGAACGGCCGCTGTGTCAACACGGTGGGAAGCTACCGCTGCGAATGTAACGAGGGTTTTGAGTCGAGCTCCACAGGCACCGAGTGCATCGGTAAGAGCCAGCGGCCAATCAGAACACGGCTGACATACAGGCACAAATCGCATGAAACCGAAAGCTAAAACCAAATCAAATCCCCAGTCTTCAACCATTTAGTGCACTAATTTCAGTTTTAAATTAGACTGAGATTGCTCATTCTGTCTAACCGGCCTGCTGTGGTTGTCAGATAACAGGAAGGGCTTCTGTTTCACGGAGGTCCTGCAGACGATGTGCCAGCAGTCGTCCACCAACCGAAACACCGTCACGAAGTCGGAGTGCTGCTGTAACGGCGGCCGCGGCTGGGGATCGCTGTGTGAACTCTGTCCTCTGCCCGGAACCATCCAGTACAAGAAGATGTGTCCGCTCGGACCCGGATACACCACTGACGGCAGAGGTCAGAGATCTCCACACTTCTGAATGTCTTTACAGAGATTTCACAGAGCAACAGTTGAGAAAATGAAAACAGACCATCACTCTTTATAATAAAATCACTGGTCCGATGTTCAAAAATAGCTTCTTTTAGACCAATGCAATGATGTGCAAACTCGGTAGATATTTTATATATATTTAAATATTGATATAAAATTATTTTGTATTTTTTAACACATTTATTAATGTATTTATTAAATATCAATGTAGAAAATGTGCTACTTTCCATGTTTGTTTATAATTATGAATATTTACATTAATTAATATTGTAAAATAATTTTATTATAATAATAATTTTTGGACAAATTATACAGTAAGTATAAAATACACTTAGAAATATATGGAATATATTTTTTTATATGTCTAATCATGTTTTTAATAATATTTCAAATTAATTTATGGATATTTTAAATACATTTATTTATACATTTAAATATTATTTTGTGGTTTTATATACAGAAAATATTCATTATATTTAATTTTGAAATATATTTTAATATGTACATTGATATTTTTAGTAATACAGTACTTATATATATATATTTATTAATAATAATAATAATAATACAATATTAATATTAGTACTGTTTTTAAATAACAAGTGCTACAGATGTTTAGTTAAAAGTACTTCACTGAAATTCAGGCATTTCTTTTAGATTTAGGAATGCATGTATGGATACCATATCTACTGTATTTTTGCAGACATCAACGAGTGTGACGTGATGCCTAACCTGTGTAAGAATGGCCAGTGCATCAACAGCGTCGGCTCCTTCCGCTGCCATTGCAACGTGGGTTACACCGATGACTTTACTGGCACTTCCTGTGTTGGTACGTTCTCCTCACTCATCGTTACCCTTATTTAAATCAATAAAGTGCGATACTGTTCTAAAAGCCCATTTTTGATGCAATAACTTGATGCTTTTCAATTAGATATGGACGAGTGCTCTCAGTCGCCCAAACCATGTAACTTCCTGTGCAAAAACACTGAAGGCAGTTACCTGTGCTCGTGTCCCAGAGGATATATCCTACAGCCTGATGGGAAGGCCTGCAAAGGTTAGTTCATGATTAATGGTTACATTTTTCCTTGTTGGGATAAGATCTGCTTATAAATCTGGTTGTAGTAATAATCCGTGCCAATGATCAACCCAATGTGTGCTAATTTGAAAAAATTGCTTATTTCATACCAGACTTGGACGAGTGCTCAACCAAGCAACACAACTGTCAGTTCCTGTGCGTCAACACGATCGGTGGCTTCACCTGTAAATGCCCCTCAGGCTTCACGCAGCACCAGACGGCATGCATAGGTGAGTGATATGAACTCAAGCCACCCGCTAACATGCCTAGCCCAGAGTCTAAATAATTGAATGGGTCATTTGGAGCTAAAATTGCCTTCATGCTTCATCTCTTAGACAACAACGAATGCAGCAATCAGCCAAACGTATGCGGCTCCCGCGCCTCCTGCCTCAACACCCCCGGCAGCTTCAACTGTGAGTGTCAGAAGGGCTTCTCTCTGGACACCACGGGAATCAACTGCAACGGTAGGCTTCCCGTTTTGGGCCCATGTGAAATGATTTTGCACTAAGCGGCAATCGACCCGTTGTGAGCTCCAAGGTTGTTGATCGCTGGTATATGCTTTTGTTGAAGCCATCTGTTCACATTAGTTCATAATTGCGTTTAACCGCAGAATTCGTGGTGGATAAACTACTATCCATGATGCTGTCCGGAAAATTCCACCAATCAGAGAGTTGTGGTTATCAAATCACGCTTGGAGAGCTCTTTAGCTCCGCCCACTCCCACGAAGCACCACAAATGACGTAATCAAGCCACTTTCAAAATACTTCAATACAGTCAACAACTTTAAATGAATAGTTTTATATTTCACCTTCTTTTTTAAAGGGTTACTCCACCCCAAAATGAAAATTTTGTCATTAATCACTTACCCCCATGTCGTTCCAAACCTGTAAAAGCTTCGTTCGTCTTCGGAACACAATTTAAGATATTTTGGATGAAAACCGGGAGGCTTGTGACTGTCCCATTGACTGCCAAGTAAATAACACTGTCAAGGTCCAGAAAAGTATGAAAGACATCGTCAAAATAGTCCATCTGCCATCAGTGGTTCAACCGTAATTTTACGAAGCTACGAGAATACTTTTTGTACGCGAAGAAAACAAAAATAACAAAGAAACAAAAAAAAAACATGTGGTGCAGCTGACAGAACAGCGTACGCTGTTTGCATCCAGCGGATATTCTCCAAAATGGTGCTACGCTGACGCAGAGGAGACGAATTGCTGAATAAAGTCGTTATTTTTGTTTTCTTTGCGTACAAAAAGTATTCTCGTAGTTTTGTAAAATTACGGTTGAACCACTGACGGCAGATGGGACTATTCTGACAATGTCTTTCATACTTTTCTGGACCTTGACAGTGTTATTTACTTGGCAGTCAATGGGACAGTCACAAGCCTCCCGGTTTTCATCCAAAATATCTTAAATTGTGTTCCGAAGACGAACGAAGCTTTTACGGGTTTGGAACGACATGGGTGTAAGTGATTAATGACAAAATTTTCATTTTGGGGTGGATTAACCCTTTAAGGCCCGATTATACTACTATTTCTGCGTTCTGCTCCGTCTCGCGCACAGCCGTGTCAGCGCAGCTTTTAAAGCATATTCGACACATCGCAGTGCCACCATTGCAATGTTGTTTGCGTGGACACAAAAATTGGGCTGCACACGGACACTTCTGATGATGAGAATTGCATCACACGGACAAGTCCGCGGATGGCCGAAGTATACTTTGGGCTTCAGATTGTCATTTGCATTGCTTCATGGAATTGTTTGGTTTGGTTGATGGCTTATAACGCTTGAACGATTTTTTTTTTTTAAATCCCAATTGGAAAAATTAATGTAAAAAATACTTCCGGATCCAACACTGCTGAGAAGGTGGTTGGGCAACAACGTGCCCCTATGCCACCATATATTAGAATCACATGCTAACCAGATTTTGTTTTCTTGGTTTGTTACAGACGTCGATGAATGTGGTGGAAACCACCGGTGCCAGCACGGCTGCCAGAACATGCTGGGAGGATATCGCTGTGGATGCCCGCAAGGTTACGTTCAGCACTACCAGTGGAACCAGTGTGTGGGTAAGTATTTCTACGACGATGAATTGTGGTTTTCAGTTGCGCAGTTCTAATTTCTGCATCTTCCTTCCACCTAGATGAGAACGAATGTGCCGGAAATCAAGCCTGTGGGTCTGCGTCTTGCTATAACACTCTGGGCAGCTATAAATGCATGTGCCCGTCAGGTTTCGACTTTGAGCTCTCTGCTGGCAGCTGCCAGGATGTTAATGAATGTGCCTTGAACAATAACCCCTGCAGCTATGGCTGCTCCAACACAGATGGCGGCTACTTGTGCGGATGTCCTGGAGGCTTCTACCGAGCAGGACAAGGGTGAGTATTTAAGGCCCGATAAAACTTCAAGCGAAAACGAAGAACGAACTGATGTGACATAATTTCGAACAAAATCCAGCCAAAACAAAGTTCGTTTTGGGAGTTCGAAACCGCTTGCCAAAGCGAACTTTCCAAAAAAGTTCATTCAGACTGCAAAACACCTTCGTACTACCATTGGTCCGTGACGATTACGTCATAGGAGGTGTGCGCTGAGGCTCTGCCTTCTTTCGCGCAGAACATCTCTCTGGGTTCATTTCGTCTGTCGAGTTTCATCTGTCAAAACTGAATACAGTGGAGAGCCGCTTTATAGTAGCAAATTAAGTTGTGCTTCTGATGAAATGAGACACTGACACTGTTTTTCATGTTTAATACTTCTGCTTGCTTTAAAGCAATATATTGAATAAAGTGCCATGTAAATACACGTGACGTGACTTCACGGGAGTGCTAATTTGTAGAGCTCGTGCAAACATACCCATGTTGCTATGATCAGATTTTTATATAAAAATTCTTGCTGTTTTCTCCAATTTTTTTTGTGTTTATTTTTTTTACTGAGAGGAAAGTGGGCAGCACATATTTACATATTCATATAAACGTTGCTTTCATCAGAGTGAGCGGCGTCGGGATTTCGAAACTTCGTTTTACCCCTAAACAAAGAACGGAAAAAAAAAACTTCGTTTTGAGTATATCGGGGCCTTTAGGCTAGCCTGTTCTTATTTGAATACTGGAGTTCATTTTATGCCACAAGTGTCCTTACCTGCTCCTGGAGGACCACTTTCTTTCAAAGTTCAGCTCCAGCTTTCGCCAACGTACCCACCTGGGTGTTTCCTTCACTAGCTAGTTGAAGAGCTAAAGTCTAGGAAGGATTGGACACCCAAATAGTTTGAACATACTGTATATAGCAGGGAGGGCAACTCTAATCTTAGAAAACCACTGTCCTGCAGAGTTTAGCTCCATCCCTAATTAAATGCACCTGAAAAAATCTAACCAAAGGATAACTAAAGGTCTTTAGGAATACTTAAATTACAGGGTTTTTTTATTTGGATTGGAGCTAAGATCTGTCAGACAGTGGCCTGAAGTTGGCAATCCCTGCTATAATGCCAAAGTACATCCAAGCATACTTGCTGAGCATTCAAAGTCATTGGCAAGACTTTCTGTTAGATGTCAGAACATGACCGCGGAATTTACTTCCAGTCAGACAAAACAGCATCAGTGAGTTCCATTACTGATCTTTGTGAGGGGATTAGCTCGTAGTTGACTTTCTAAAGGGTTCAGAAGGGGATGTCTTCATACTTTTGCCATGTAGTGTAGAACCATATACTTGCCTGAAACTTCAAGGCCCTGTCCTAAATTCTACTCATATCCCTCGTCCGAGTTCACGTTTTGGTGACGCACTCCTACATAGATTGTCAAGCAGTAGTCTACTGTGGAGTCCCACCAGCATGGGCTCAACAAGGGTGCAAGAACCTTTCTGAATCCTAACATGGAATACTCTACGGTCTTGTGGACTCCATAGACCTATGCAAGCAAAGACAGCAAGTCCACATTAAGTGCACAATTTGGGGCAAGGCCTAAACCAGGGGTGTCCAGTCCTGGCCCTCGAGGGCCACTGTCCTGCAGAGTTTAGCTCCAACCCCAAATATTGTGAACCAAGGTTATAAAGGTCTTCAGGATTACTAAAACTTCCAGGCAGGTACATTGGGACAAGTTGGCGCTAGACTCAGCAGGGGTCTCCAGCCCTGCTCCCAGAGAGCTACCATCCTGCAGAGTTCAGCCACATCCTTAATCAACCACAACTGAACCAGCTAATCAAGGTCTTCAGGGTTACTTGATAATTACAGACAGATGTGTTGGAGCAGGGTTGGAACTTGAAGTCTGCAGGATGGTATCTCTCCAGGAGCAGGGTTGGAGATCCCTGCAATAGAGGTTGTTGGCCCTCCAGGATCCGGATTTGGATATTCCTGACCTAAGCTGAATAATTACGCAAGTGAAAGAAAAGTAATGTTTCACCTTTTTCATTTCTAGGCACTGCATCACAGGAGTGGGCTTCCAGGGTCAGTTTGGCTCGGAGGGTGAGGATGACGAAGAGTCACTGTCACCGGAGGCCTGCTATGAATGCAAGATCAATGGTGACCTTGGAAAGAAAGGCCGCCATAGGCGTAATGCTGGCGATAATGAGCTCAAGGTACTTTTTGAGTACTGTCCGTCTCTCTGTAGTCGTCATGTTTTCAATATGGCCACACTGCTAACCCTGACCTTAATTCCTAACTCTATAAAGGGTATAACAGACTTAAGTCAAGATCTATCTGAAGCTGCTTCTAATGTTTCCAACTGTTCTGTCATGCCCTCAGGAGACGGTGAGTATGGCCAGCATGGATGTTCAGACCTCCATCCCAATGAACCTTAGTCTGGCGCAGCTGCAAAACAAGGAACCCCTACTTGAGTTGCTTCCAGCCCTGGAGCCGCTTGAGCACCACGTGCGCTACGTCATAACGCACGGAAACCAGGGTGAACACTTCCGCATCCTGGAGCGTCGCGACGGAAAGAGTGTTCTGCGGCTGGGCCGAAAGCCACCCCCTCCAGGTTTGTTCCGCCTGGAGATCGCCAGCTTGCGTATGTTCGGTCCGCGCAAACTTCAGCAAATAGAGGACCAGCACGACAGCGACTACTTGCTGGGCGAGATCGGCGACGCACTGCGCATCAAGTTGCACATCCACCTGCACTGAGACTGACCCTTGACCCTGTGCCCTTCACTGCAGGGCGTTGGCTCTGAGAGACTGTGTCCATTTATCGCCATGTTTTGGGTTTGTTCTTATTTGCCGTCCTTTCATGTTTTCATGTCAGCCCCCACCGATTCCGCCAGGTTGGGTGGAATATGTACATATACCACCTTAAATTAGCAGGAGTGCGTTAGCACTAGCATTAGCACCCAATCAGACATATTAGTCGTAAGGACGATTTAATTTTAATACGGCTTTTACAGTTGTAAACTGTCAAAATTATCATAAAATGACATTTCAGTCTTTAGTGCACATAAAAACGATGCATTATAGATGAAGAAAAATATAATGACCGTTCACTCACCTCGATGTCTCAGTGCAAACTGGGGTCAACATTTATTCCAGTCAGTATTTAGAGTCATTTGTCAAGTATTGTACTATTTTTGAAGAAAAGAAAAAAAAAAGGTGACACAAAGGACTGCAACAATTTTTCAGGTTTAAACAGTCGAGGGTTCAAACAGCTTATGGTTCTCGAGACTGAAATATGTCTTTTTACATAAGATTTTTGGGACTTTCTGGAGTGTTTGCATGAGCTGCCACATCGCTTTACCTCATTTTACACACATAGACAAGAACACACACATATATGTGTGGCAGTTAAGACAGGAGTGGTGCTAAATGCTCAAAATTCGCACTGGGCCTCCTCTGCGTATTTAATCAGGGAAATTTCATTCCAAAAATGGCAACAACTGTCCAAAGGGTTTTCGAATATGCATGTGATGTTGCACAAACTTGGCATTCACATTTGAACCATTTTCTTCTCCATGCTTGTGTGCTCTTGTCGGTGTATTTGAAAAAGACGCGCTTCGCAAACAGAGCACATACGAATGGAGAACTGGAAGCCTGCTGGGTAAACCAACCAGAGGCCATTTTTGATTGCAGCTGGAAACGTGCAGTCTCAATGGTACATAAGGATTGTTTGGCAAGCCGTCCTCCAAAACACTCCAGATATGGACATGCAAACACACATTTTCAACTTTCAAGTGTGGGAACATTGACAAACCAACCCTCGTTTCTTAGTTTCTCAGTAATCTTGAGCAAACAAGGTGCTAAGATTCCAACTTACGCTGTTCTACGAACTGATTTGTGGATCGCAAACGCGACATTTTCAAAGGTCTTTTGTGTTTTTTTTTATTTTGTGTGTGATTGTCTTTTGTACTGTCTCAATGCTGAAAAATCAATACTATCAAAGCTTGTTAAAAATTTTAATTGTATATTTTAAAGTGAAATGTAGATTTTGTTTGTATTTCTTCTTTTGTATTCTTGAGCATCAAGACTGCCAAACCAAATATTTACTTGTAAACATTAGATAAATAGCCTTTAAGAACTGTTGACTTTGTTTTTCCTCTTAATACGGACAATTAATGATCACAGCATCCTTTATTTACTGTCACGGAGCACTATGTGACAGACATCACTGTTTACATGAGCTTGTCCATCAATCATCATAATACTGTAGTTTATTTGCCATGACCAGCAACATTGGACTGTTTTCAAAGGCTGTAAACAAAGTAATTTTGGTGCTAGAATGACAAAACTGTTTCTTGAACATCACAGTAACTGCACTGTACGACAGCCTGAGCTATATTTATGCATAACCATTTGTCTAACATTGGAACTTTGTATACTTTCATAAAGTTTTTTTTTGTTGATGCCACTACATGTAAAAGAGCGAATGTGCGTGACTGTACTGTATGTCAAAAATCAGCAGCAAACTTGAAATAGTCATCAAGCTAGTGTCGAGTTACGAACTTCAGACCAAAGAAAGTGGACCAGGTCGCTCAGGATGATGTCGATTCCCATAAATCTCTGGGGTGCATTGATTACGGCAAACTGTATGAATTTTTTTAGCCATAAAGATCCATGACAGAGAAACCTGAGCACCCTGTACATGACTAATGAGTAATTCCAAATGCATTGTTTTTATACCATTTTCGATCCATCTGTCAGATCCAAGTGATCCGCACAATGTTTGTGAACATCTGTATGAAACAACGAATGGCAATAAAACAACATTGGTTATATTTTTAAACCTTTGTCTTTCTGTTCTCTGTGTGCAAAGGCCATTTTTAGCCACGTTAAAGAGATTTAACGAGTGTATCCAAGTGGAAATGGCTTATTGATCTCAGAAGGGTGCCCACTACAGTACACTTCGTCCTGAAGATATTGGAAGCTTTTTAAGTGAATAAGCCCAGTTTTATTTCAGACAAAAAGGAATTAGGAAAATATCCAATCTACTTACAAACTCACAAAGCAATGCAAGCTCCTCTGTTTCTTGGCACATCAACACTCTTTGCACATGCGTCCAAATGAGGGCTACAAATTTGAGACGACACATTAGCAAAAAGGGAACTCCAAATCTGAGTCGGGATATAAAAATAAAGCTTTCAGTCGTTTCTAAACCTCTCTTAGATCACAACCGTTTCAGAGAGCTCAGCAGATTAGCAAACAGACAACGCCGAGATATGAGAACATATGGCTTATATACACACTTAGACAAAGGACAGGAAAGAGTCAAACAGCAATAATACAAGGACTAACACTCAGTTCTGAAGTCTTAAAGGGATTTTTGCTCCAAATCCAGAACATCCTCAGAAATATATAAAGCACAGAGTTTAGAACGGGTCTGTCCGACATCCTAGGACTTTCCAACAATGCTGAAGTTTTCCTTAAAGATGTATTTTGTGGAAAATTACCATGCTAAATAGACAAAAATCATACTGAATAGGCCATAATCAGGGTAGGCAGCTTATTTAATTTTACGCAAATGAAAACAAGGCTGTGAGGGCTTTAATGACTAAGCAGAACAAAGTGTAAATTGCTTTCAAAAAATGTTTTATGTAATTTGTCTAATTCAATGCAACAATTAACGTAAAGCAACAATTTAATGGCAGTTTAGTAATTTTTACAGTGTAAATTGTGAAAACCATTTACTGCATTCAATGTAACAATTAACGTAAAGTGACAATTTAGTGACAGTTTACTGATTTTTACGGTGTACATTTTGTTAAAACCATTTATTGAATTCAATGCAACAATTAACAAAACGACAATTTAGCGACAGTTTTGTGATTTTTACTGTGTAAATTATTTGTTAAAACAATTTGTTGCATTCAATGCAACAATTAACAGTGACAATTTAGCAACAGTTTTGTGCTTTTTACGGTGTAAACTTAAAACCATTTGTTGAATTCAATGCAACAATTAACAGCAACAGTTTAAAGATTTTTTATTTTTATGGTGTAAATTTCGTTAAAACCAATTGTTGCATTCAATGCAACAATTAACGTAAAGTGACAATTTAGCAACAATTTAGTGATTTTTATGGTGTAAATTGTTTGTGAAAATCATTTGTTGTATTCCATGCAACAATTAACATAAATCGATAATTTAGTGACAGTTAAGTGATTTTTATGGTGTACATTTTGTTAAAACCATTTGTTGTATTCAATACAACAATTAACGTAAAGCAACAATTAACGACAGTTTAATGATTTTAAAGGTGTAAATTTTGTTAAAACCATTTGTTGCATTCTTTGCAACAATTAATGAAAACCGACAATTTAGCAAAAGTTCAGTGATTTTTAAGATATAAAATGTTTGTTGAATGCAACAAATGGTTTTAATTGCAACAATTAACGTAAAGCAACAATTTAATGTCAGGTTAGTGAATTTCATGGTTTAACTTGTTTGTTAAAACCATTTGTTGCATTCAATGCAGCAATTAACGTAATGCGTCAATTTAGCAACAGTTTAGTAATTTTTACAGTATGAAATGTTTGTTTAGATCATTTGTTGCATTCAATGCAACAATTCACATAAAGCAACAATTTAGAGGCAGTTTATCGATTTTTACAGTGTAAATTGTTCATTAAACCCATTTGTTGATTTACATACAAATTTAAGGTCCAATATGTTTCAAGTTCCTAAGTAAAGTCATCGTCTAGTTTTGTTAACGCAAATTTGAACACATTTCACTTTTTTTTTTTCTCGAAGTTTTCGTAAAGCCATATTTCCAATGTTTCATTAGTTGACCAACTAGTCAATCAACATCAATTTATAGCAATGATCGACTTCCATTACAGCCTCATTTTCAGCAGCGTTAAATTAAATATGTCATCCACTAAGATCCACTGAAAAGTTTCATCGTGTCTTTTACAATTAACATATATATACAGTAATGATGAAGTATGTACAGTAGCCGAAGGGTAGTAACACTTCACAGTGAGCATCGTGTCGGGCACTTTGAACCGTCGACTTAATGTGTATTCATTGTAGACCTTGTAGACCGTCCTGAGGATGTAGCTACAGCAGAAGAATCGGACGACCCTGTTAATTCGGAAAGTAGCGTTCTTTATGTTTACACCCAAAGCACATTTCAAGGTATACATGGCACATGCGTTCCCTGGGAATCGAACCCATGACAGTATTAGCGAAATTAGCTACAGGGTTGGATTCGGGCCACAGGTTGGGCTAAGGCAGGTGGCGTCTTTCGGTCATGTGACTACACCAGGGCGTAGTCAAACTGGCCCCGCTCGAAGCCATCCTTATGATCGGTCCAAGACGAAGAGGGCATTTGGCTGTAGGGGTCCAGCAAGATCCGGAAGCAACGCACCAACAGGAAAATCAAAAACAGCATCAGGAGACCCACAAACGCAAAGGCCGTCCTTTGCTCGGCATCGCCGCCAAGAGGTGGGCTGCTGGGGACCCCTGCGAACGACGGCCCCAGTGAGAGCAGCTCATAGTCCAACGTGGACACATCGCTCATCCTCCAGGAAGCGCGACGACAGAACTTGCAAGCTGTCGTAAGGGTAGATTGGATGGAGAGATTGGCCAGATTGGTGTGGCGACCTCGATGTGGACAAATGAGGCCAAAGTCAACACTTTTGACTGTGTGACGGACACGCAAAGTGACACAAGTGGAGCAATCCGGGTCAAAATGACAGGCCTTTTTATTCCAGACCTGTCAAATCGGATCTGACCCGCAAGTGGCACGGCGCAAGCCGATGGGACATGACACAGCGGGCTGCCACAACAGATAAAAACAGCAAGGACTCGAGTCACACGCTCGTTTCTTTTGGCCGCAGGGATGAGGCTAATTGGCTCCAGATGGGACACGGTTTGCAGGTGTTGTCCCCACGTTGGGCGCCAGTTTACGGATCGCCCCACAGCAAGTATACCATTTCTGGTTGATGCTGAAAAAGTCAGACAGCAAAGATCGGATGCCTAATCCGATCAGATCAATATGCGAATCTGGGAAAGCCGTTCGCTCAAGAGAGTTCGATTAGTGGGCTCCAGTAGGTGTGCATTAGGTTGATGAGTCAGAGATTATGTGTTCCCTCTTGCTTGTGTTTTCTCACACAGAACTGCTTGTAAGGTTGGTACTATTGATCGAGTGGGGCTAATGTCTGGTAAAGTGTGGATTTCAGGGCCAGGATCAGATGTAGGCCGACAGCACAGAGTCACAGAAACGACGCCTGCGCTGCAGTGTGTTTGGCCTCTGGTCTGTTGTACTTCACCCTGTAAACACACAAGATACACGCATTCAGCATTTAATCGGTTTAGTGGCATGACCATGAACTGTTCCTACCTAAAAACCTCACAATAGAGAGATATTATATTATTTTCATAAATGGCTTTACTTTATTGAACTGTCTACTGAATGCTAACACAAAATATGTAATATGTATATATAATTTGAAAATGTCAATGTATATTTAGTTGAATAAATGCATTTTAAATGTAATTTTTTTACAAAATGTATTCATGTATTTTTCAGAGTATTTACAGTCTTTTAAGCATTTCTATTTATATATAAATAAGAAAATTTATATAAATTATATTA